ATCCTATTTCCCTTTAATGAATATTATCTTTATATTGATATTGTTTTGGTTTATTCAATTATTCAATTTCAATATTATGAGTCCTAATTTGAATAGGAATTCTTATTGTATCAATTTAAGGTCTATGATTTAAAAAAAATTGTTCTTTCTATATAATGATTCCCATTTCAGTCGATTTCATTCAATTCAATGATTGATCAAAAAAAATGTTAATAAATAATAAAATAAATTGCATGAACTGATATGTTTCCACAAATAATTGAAATTCAATTTTCTTGATCTGTATTTTCAAATTTTGGAAACTTATCAAGTTTTTTTGTTAAGCCCCGATTCATGAACCTATAAAATCCTTTAAATTGTATTTGATTCAACCTAGGTATTGTATACATTTATCCATTTTCATTTTTGAGCATTTTGAATTTCCATTTATAAAAAAATCCCATTATTTTCTTATTATTCATCGAATCATATGAATCGATCTAATAATGATGAAATTGAATTTCTATTATGTTTACTGAATCACATGAAATTTTATCTAACTCCATATACCATATAATATATTCAGAATGAATGAAATGAGTATGAATGAAAAAAGAAAAATTATACTCAAATTTTAATTTATATTTATAACAAACAACCACATAAAAGAATTGATAAATGCCATTTAGTCTTATGGAGTTTTGTATAGAATATCAAAAAAAAAAAATTCAATTTCTACCATTATTATGATATTCCATTTTCCAATATGATTGAATACCTTAAAATGAAATGAATTCTTGATTTGATTTGTTTGTTGAGATAAAGATAAAATAATCATAAAATATATATCGACGGAAAGTTGATTTTTCTGACACTTAATTTTTTCATAGATTCCATCATTCTATTCAAAAATAGAATATAGAATAAATTTATATATAGTTATATATAGAATAAAATTTTGATTTTCTATCTATATTTTATAGATATTATATCTATATATATATATCTATATATTATTTATATATATTTAATATATATTTATGAGATTATGTTGAAATGCGTTTTTGTTTTCAATTTCTTCGTGATATTCTTCGAGCTTATGGGAATGATTTTAACCAAGCAACTGGAAGCGACCAGTTCCAATCAACAACGAATACAATAATTAAGAAAGAAAACTATACAACTTTTTTTATTTGTATTTGGATATTCTTTATTGTTTTAGTTTGCTTTGGTTTTAAAAATATTATTTTCATTTCATTTTTATTAAATTAATAAATTTTTGTATTAATTTAATAAATATTTCAAATTAATAAAATATAAAATATAAGACTATACGGACTCAAACCGTAAACCTTATCGGTAAAATAGATCGAATTGATTATTATCAAAATAATTCGATCTATTTGAAAGATCTAACATGCATTTTGTTGCATTGTGCTCTTTCATTAATTGATAGAAATATTTTATAAATTATATGTATTTGCAGAATTAATTTAGAAAACCAGTAACAATATGCAAAAACAAATAATTTTTATTGAAAATATTCCTTTAATGAACTTCCTCGGAACTTTTATAGTAAATGAAATATACAAAATTTTGATATAGATTCTCTATTTTCAATTTTCTTTTAATACGAAATATGTAAAATAATGTACAGAAAATGAAAATCTATTTAAGAATCTATCATACATGAATAAAAATAAAATAAAATTTTAAAATCAAATACCTTACTCTATCTTCCTTTACTTAACCTTAATTGAGGTGAAAAGGGAGCATAACCCTTCTCTATTAATGTTTAGGTCTGAATTTTTCAATTGAACCTTAATTTAATATTTAATAAAAATAAAATAAAAATTGTTAATTTGTTCTTTAACCTCTCAGTCTTCAACACTGTCCCACATGTCTGAATGTTTACTCTTGCTTTTGCTCTTTCTCTGTTCTGAATTTTGACCCCACGACTTGGCTTTACTTAAGTGGTTAAGGTTAAGGTCAAACCCAAACAAACACGAAGGTTAAAAGTCGCCATAGTCTACATATAAAGATAACCAAATTGAACCTCGCCCAATTTTTCACGAATTTTCAAAGCACATGTGAAAAGGAATAGAACATAATAACGATGATGACGACGATGATGATGATTCAGCTAAGAAAATTATGAAATATATGAATTGCGAGACCAAAACTTTGGGGTGTAAAAGTCTTTCTTTCTAATAAATTTTCACTTTTGATGAAAAATTTATCTTAATTATCATTAATTTCTATATTGTGTCCTAAAGTGAATACCTTACTTACATTTAGATAAATTCTCAATTTTTTAAAAAGGTTTATTAATGAAATCTAAAATATAATTTAATTAATTCATATAATTATTTTTAAATAAATTTATATTTTAAATTTCAATAATTGTAATTTTTATTATTCTCATATTATAAATTTTTTAATAAAAAAGTTATTATCGAATTTGTATTTAGATAATTTTATTTACTATGTTAAGTTTACTTTTGAACGAAACATTGTTTAAATTTTGAAATTTCATATTGATTATGCTATAGTCTTAAATTTTTAATATTTAAAAATTAAAATGGAATGATTTCATTAAAGAAAAATATAATGAAAATTTTTTGATATATTTTTTAAGTATCACCAAGTTAATATGTTTGTGAAGATTTTTTTTTTTTTGTATTTTATATTTTTCATAAAGTAAATAAAAAATCTTCTGTCAAAATTTTCCCTTGACAGAAGATTTTTTCTGGCCCCATGACAATCTTGTTTATGTAGACATTTTCTTGATGAAATAACAAAATTTTCTAAGCAATTCAAACAGACAGATAAGAAATAAGGACCAAGAGGCTGCGCATGAAGGGATCAAGTGGGGTCCTGTTTCCTGGAGACCAAAAACAGAGATGATACCTCAAAATTTATTGTTGGTTGGTGTAAGTGATTAAAAATTAAAATTTAGATATATAATATTTAAATTTAAATTCTTATGATAATATATGATTTAAAAATTTTAAAAATTTTAAAAATAAGATAACCTCCCTACTTCTACACTTAAAAACATCATGACCTTAAAACTTATTTGTTTTGTTCAATTAAGCCTTTTTTTTGGGGGGGAACACATTGATTTGAAGGATCAATCATCATTTCCAGTATATGGGAGTTGAATTTTTGTTCATAGTGATCTCTTTGCTGCAATCTTCTTTCTATTCCTTTTGCTGAACAAATTACTTATTTTTTTCTTCTTCCTGCTTTTCAACAGTCCAAACCATGCCCCCTTTAGCTGGCTTGGTCAAAAGCAGAGATCTTCTGTTACTGCAATCATCTTCACACACTTGACTCTTGGAATATCTATTGAGACTCAAAATTTCTTTCATATTTCATTCTGAATCTTTGATTATTTGGAATTATATGCAGCAATACTCACAGTATCATTATTAGCTGTATATTTAAGTTATGGAGTCTGAATGGAATTTCATCCTCTTGAAGAGTTCGCATTTTTATCCATATTTTGATTAATGGGATGAATTCCAATTTTATAGATCCTTCAAAAATCTTATTGTACAAACGGATCGGATAAATTTTTACTCATTTGGAATATGAGTCGACTTTATAAACTTAACATCCGAATTTGATATTAAAATATTATTTTTATATTCAAATATGATTCATATATATATTTAAGCTCATAATCAATTAAACTAAAATTAATAAAATATTAATTTTAAATATAAATATAAAATTAAAAAGTAATAAAAAATATATATCAAATTGAATTTAGATGAATTTACATAAAATTTAACCTTGATTTTTTTTTAAAAATATTTAATCCAAAATTTGATTTAAAAAAAAAAATTAATTTTATCAAATCAGATTGAATCAAAATCTGTCAAATTTGGATTGAATTGCCAATCCTAATAATGACTCACTTTAATTATGATTAGGGCCATTAATGAAATACCCAATTGCCTCTAGGCTCCCATTATTTAGTAATTGTTGAAATGGGATTTAATTATTTTTCACAGAATCCAATGCTTGATAGTGTTAAAGCATCTGAACTATTCAATTTCCAACTCTGCACAAACCTCAAACCTGGTCACCAAGAAAGAAACTGTATTTGATTATAAAGCACCTCAGTTTCACTCTCAAATTCCTGCTTCATTCAACACTGTCCCACATGCCTGAATGTTTACTCTTGCTTTTGCCCTTTCTCTGTTCTGAATTTGACCTACCACTTAGCTTTACTTAAGTGGTTAAGGGTAAAGATCAAACCCCAATAAACACGGAGGTTAAAAGTCGCCATAGTTTACATATAAAGATAACCAAATTGAACCTCGCCGAATTTTTCACGAATTTTCAAAGCACACGTGAAAAGGAATAGAATATGATGATGATGATGATGATGATGATGATTCAGGTAGGAAGATTATGAATAATGTGAATTGCAAGACCAAAACTTTGGGGTGAAAAGTCTTTCTTTCTAATAAATTTTCACTTGTGATGAAAAATTTACCTTAATTATCATTAATTTCTATATTGTGTCCTAAAGTGAATACCTTGCTTACATTTAGATAAATTCTCAATTTTTTAAAAAGGTTTATTAATGAAATCTAAAATATAATTTAATTAGTTCATATAATTATTTTTAAATAAATTTATATTTTAAATTTCAATAGTTGTAATTTTTATTATTCTTATATTATAATTTTTTTTATATAAAAAAGAAGTTATTAGCGAATTTGTATTTAGGTCATTTTATTTACTATGTTAAGTTTACTTTTGAATGAAATAATGTTAAATTTTAAAATTCTATATTGATTATGCTATAATCTTAAATTTTTAATATTTGAATTTTGATATGTTTAAAAATTAAAATGAAATGATTTCATTAAAGAAAAATATAATGAAAAAAAATAATACCAGACTTATGCATACCAACTATGTGATTGAAACAAATTTAAAGAAGCAAAATAAAAGAATTTCAATCTTACCGCTGATATTTAATTTTTAAAAAAAAATGATGATTTGAAGGTGTAAAAGAAAGTGATAGTAATTCAGAAATGGCAACGATTTGAATAAAATAAATAAATAAATAAATTGAACTTACTTTCACTCTTGAAGTCTACAAGAGCTAATTTTCCTGGCAACCAAACGTAAGCAGATAAATAAAAAAATCATCAAATTGATCTATAAGCCTGCTGATGAAAAATAAAGTCTTGGTCGCCTCCTCCAATTCCAAAGACCTTTTTCATCGTTTGAACTCTGATAGGTCAACAGTCCATTCCCTGTTTAGTTACCCAAAATTTCACATTTTTCTTTTTCCACGTTCAAATTTTGAAAGCTTCAAGACCCACCAAGAAAAACAAAGGCAAACCCCAAATGCCCTTTAATTCTTTTTTCTTATGCTGTTTTTTTTTTTAGCCTTTTTTGAGGGAAGTGAGAAAAGAAGATGGAGAATGAAGCAATGGCGATTGATCTCAGAGGAATCCCAACATATGATGGCAGATATGTCCGTTACAACATCTTAGGTAACATCTTTGAAGTTTCTTCAAAGTATGTTCCTCCTATTCAGCCTGTTGGTCGCGGCGCTTACGGCATCGTTTGGTAATCTTCTGCTTTGTTCTTCTATTTCAGTGGCAAAGTATGCCTTTTTTTCCTTTTTGGATTTCTGTTGCTTGAGAGTTTAAAGCTGTAAATTCATTGAATTGGTTGAGCTTTTGGGTCTCTTTTTTCTCTTGCCTTCTTTCTTTATTGGGGCTTTTATGATTATTCAGTGCTACTTAAATTGTAGAAAAACAAAAATTTTACCAACCCTTTCTGAGAAATTTCAGAAGTGAGCTTTGGGTTTGTTCCAATTTGATGTTTCAAAAAGTTATAATTTTTACTCTTACAATTGAATTAGTAGAAATACATGCACACTTTAGGGTAAATTTTGATTTTGGTTGTTTATACGTAAATGATTAAGTCATTTGAATAATTTATTGTAGATAGCTGCAGATTTGACATTCGTGTATTCATGTAATGTAAAATATTAAAATTTATGTATTTATATCCTGTTTTATATAAAAAATTACGAGTCATAATATATATATAAACACAAAAACATGAAATGTTTTTTTTTTTTTTTTAAACCCGTATACAATTATTGTAAAATTTTAAAGTGTATCACCTTTGTGTCATTTGTTGGTATCGTATTCATGTCATGATTTAGATTGTCAGGTTTAGCTGTATTTACTTTTATGTGAGAGATGAAAGTTTTTAATTGAGTATTTTGGGGTCAATGAATTTATTGCAGCTGTGCCACAAATTCTGAGACAAAGGAAGACGTGGCAATAAAAAAGATTGGGAATGCATTTGACAACAGGATTGATGCTAAAAGAACACTCCGTGAGATCAAGCTCCTTTGTCACATGGATCATGATAATGTACTCGCTTGATTCTAAACTTCATTTGCTTGTATTAATGTATTCTTCACTTTCATTCATTCTTTTCATGTTATACTATGAAGGAGAGATGAAGTGTTGCATTAATATTTTGTAGATTGTCAAGATCAAGGACATTATACTGCCACCAGAGAAGGAAAAGTTCAATGATGTTTACATTGCATCTGAGCTAATGGACACCGATCTACATCAAATAATACGGTCCAGCCAGCCTCTCACTGATGATCACTGTCAGGTAGGTTAATATATATCATTCTTATTCCCCTATAAATCTGGCTGTAATTTCATAATTGTTGAAGATATATTGTGTTTTTTGCAGTATTTCCTGTATCAACTGTTACGGGGCCTGAAGTACATACACTCAGCAAATGTTTTGCATCGAGACCTAAAACCTAGCAACCTGCTTCTCAATGCAAACTGTGATCTCAAAATTTGTGATTTTGGTCTTGCAAGAACCACCTCAGAGACAGACTTCATGACAGAGTATGTTGTAACCAGATGGTATCGAGCCCCTGAGTTGCTCCTCAACTGTTCAGAGTATACTGCAGCTATTGATATCTGGTCGGTTGGTTGCATTTTAATGGAAATAATTAGAAGGGAGCCACTTTTTCCTGGTAAAGACTATGTTCAGCAGTTGGGGCTTATTACTCAGGTATCCAACTGTCCACCCTTTTTAATTTGTTCACACCCAAACCCAATTCTTCAGTGTCATAGAAGAGCACCTGAATATAGCATGGCTGCCATTTTTAGGCACTGTTAAAAGGAAAGCAGGAAGGAGATTGAAAATTTTTAGTGGCCATTGAATACTTGATGATAATACTTGCATATATAAATATTTTGTTTTTTGGTTATTTCATAAAACAGCTACTAGGATCACCAGAAGATTCAGATCTAGGATTTCTTAGGAGTGACAATGCTCGAAAGTATGTTAAGCAGCTTCCTCGATTCTCAAAGCGACCTTTTGCAGAAAAGTTTCCAGATATGTCTCCCGTGGCAATTGATCTTGCTGAGAAAATGCTGGTTTTTGATCCAAGCAAGCGCATAACTGGTATGCCTTAATATACCACTGCAACAATGTTACTGTTATTTTGGTTCCTTCGTTCATTGTTCTTATAAGAAACATATCTTCTAAATGATGCATGTAAAGTTGAGGAAGCACTGAACCACCCATTTTTATCAAGTCTTCATGAAATAAACCAGGAGCCCACTTGTCCATCTCCTTTCATCTTTGATTTCGAGCAGACAACGTTGAACGAAGAAGATATAAAAGAGCTCATATGGAGGGAGTCCTTGAACTTCAATCAAGATAAGATGGTTGAATGAAGTCAGTTGCTTTGCTTCATTGAAAGAAAGGTTGATTTGGAGAAAAAGATGGATGAAATGGGTTTTGGTTTATTGGGTTTATTTGGGAATTCTATCATCATTGAAAGGTTGATATGTACTCCATAAAACAAGGCTATAGTCTCTCTTAGCCTCTTATTGTGTATAGTATGGATTTGTGTGTTTATTATTGTTCACATCCAGCTTATTTATACAAGAGAAACAATAACAACAGAAGGGGAAGTAGTATTTTGACTCTGTTTTCATTCATGTAAACAGTTCTTGGATTGGGAGTGAACGTTTTTAGCCTAGCTTAACTTTGAGTATATGCAACCTCATTTGGAAAAACAAATTGCCATAACCTTGTAGTTGTAACTGTTGGATATATATATATATATATATATGTATGTATATCTTGCATTTTTTTTATATATTATTATATTCTATTGTTTTTAGCCCTTTTTAGTAATCATTATATTATATTGCTTCTCCTTAATCATAAAACGAAAAGATATGTGGGGGAGGAAATGACAGGGCAAACCGGAGAAGGAAGGAGGAAATACACTCGACTTCAAATCCAAGTCCAACCATATCTCCTTTTTAGTTGTTGCTGACTCATTTTGCAACTGGGGGCATTAAAAATTTGTGATTGCAAAGAATTGGCTATCCTCACAGCCCCTTGAAATTTGGGCAATTTTCTTCACTCTTTGACTGAGTAGAAGATTGAATTGGTTGATAGATTATGGTATGGAAAGAGCATATTATTCATTACAAAACTATTTATTTTCTGTTTTGAGAACCACAAAAAAAAACCCCATTTGTTGATTTCTTTGCATATGCTTGGACAGGGTATTTCTTACTGCAATGGTCGTTTCTCCTCTTGAATGGTATTGGCAACAGTGTTGATGGATTATAATAATGGTAGATCAACAACCACCATTTTTTTGTTTTGCAGAAGAAAATGTGCCTTGATTTCCTGGTTCATTGCAGAAGAAAAAGGCAGTAGCAAGGAAAACACTGACACAGGCTAAAATCCCTTTGTCACACAGCTTTCATTGTCAAAGGGGTGGATGGAACAAAAAGATTGAAACTCAAGCTTCAATCTGTTCAACATTTATGAATTCTCATATCATATCATAGGATACATTTGATCAGGAGAAACCCTAACCTTGAAAAGAAATGAAAAGAAGAAAGGAAAGACAAAAAGGATTGATATGATGTTTAATCTTTTCAATTTTACAAAAGAAATTTCGTTGCCTAATAATTTGCTGCCTTTTGAAAGATTTATTGTTATTAAGTTTTGCCATATTGGGAAATAAAGATCTTCACCATTTTCTAAAGGAAAAAAAAAAAAAACATTTGATAAAGCAGTGCCCAATGAAAAGAAAAAAGATGTGATATATATGAAATTTTTTATAATTACCTTTTGTTACAATGAAAATATGAATTTTCAGTTTAAAAAATTTAGTGCTTTATGATTTTTTTTTTCTAAATAATAATAAAAAAAGGATTACTTTAGCAGTAATTAATTCATTCCCAATAGAATATGCCTTTCCTTTATATCCCACTCATCATCAACTTTAGGTTTAATCACGATTATTGTTAATGTAAAAATAACATTTGAATCCTTCTTTATGGTTTGGGTTATTGCCAAGTGTAAATCTACATTTGTTTTCTTATTCATCTTAGCTCTACATGTGTTTCCATTATTTTCATTTCATAATTAAACCAAAGGCTTGGCTTGAATTGGTGGAACTTTCTACATCAATCATAAAAGTAATTAACCGTTAAAATAGTGTTTTTATTTTAATTTTTGGTGCACCGTCCAAGCCCTTGTTATTGTTGTTACTTGCTTGGATTTTTTAACACGTATGGGAAATTTGTGGTGGCTTACCTCCATATAGTTTTTTAATGTTAATCTCCCATTGTTTTAAATAATTTGGTTAAAAGTACCTTTAATAATCTAAAATATAACAAAATGAGATAATATAAATATGATACAAAAATAAAATAAAAAATAATATATTTTAAAATTTTATAATAATTATATATGAGTTTAACAAAATTAAAAAAAAATTTATATTTTCGTATCGACATGAATTTGATTTATAATTTTTATATAAAATATGATATAAATACATAAATTTTAATATTTTATATGATATAAACATTTAAATCGTTAGATCTAATTAAAAGTAATCCACCAATCAAATTACTAACCACTTTGCTCATTAAAACTTTTTTTTTTAATTCTTAACTTACTCTTAATACTTCAATTTTTATTTACTTAATTTTTTTAAAAAATATATACTATAAATTTAAATTCTCTCAAACTCGCATTTTGCAAAAATTTAACTAACATACATGTTAGTTAAGTTAAAACTTAATTAATAAATTTTGTCAACAAATTTTTTTAAGATTATTTAGGATATTATTTTTAACAATAATTTTTATTGAATACAATAATTGAAAATTAATATTATAAATTCTAATACATTAAAAAACAAATCATTTAATATATAATAATCTTTAAAATATTCGTTAATAAAACCGATATTTAATTCATGCAGAATGCATGGTATGTTTTGTTAACCTTCTTATAAAATATAATTATAAAAAAAATTTAATATTAGTAATTACCAATTTATAAATAAATTATTCCAAGTGGGACAATCTCAGCATATTGTTTGGAAACGCGTGGATCACCGTTCAGCTGTTTCGTGAATAACAAAACGCGTGTGCGATTGGGTCCTACCAGCCATGTGGCTCCCGCTAAAACATTTGACCAATCTTTAAAATTTCAAAATCAGACGGTGATTAATAGCTGTCTGTGATGCATACGTCACCTGCGGGTGACACACACGGCAAATTAAATAAAGAAACCGAAAAGAAAATTTTGTTTTCCACTATACGTATAAAGGGGCAAAGATCAGTTAAGACGATCGGCCCGCTACCGAATCACTGTGGCACAATCAAAGGCCGCCACGTAAGCAAACGTGTTCCTTAAAAACAGGAAACTGACAAAAAAAACGACTGCACGATTCCTGGCACATGATGAAGAAAAAAATTAGATGTGATATTTTAAAATATAATATATATATTATATATAAGTAAAATATAAAAATAATATAATTTAAATTTTAAATAATTATTATATATGAATTTAAAAAAATTAAAAAATATATGTTTTATATTTTCATATATATAATTTTTTATAAAATATAATATAAATATATATTGTATAAATATACAAAATATCAAACCTAAAATATATTTTATAATAAAATTATAATATAATAATTTATTTTTTTATATATTTAATACAAAATAAATATAATATAAATATATAAAATTAAAAATTCTTATAAATGACGTGGCGCATTCTTATGATTTAGGTTTCAACGAGCCTGTTGGTCTAAAAACTTCACTGTTGTTTATGCTGTGTTAATTTATAAACCCTGAAAATCAAGTATTTTTCTTTGCTGTGTTTTTTTTTTTTTTTCTCTTTTATTTCTGCGTGGTTGGTAATTTATTGGGGTTCAAATTTTCTCTGTGTAGCTGAGGAAGAGAAGGAGGCAAGAGAGGAAAGAGAAGAGAAAGAAAAAGGAGAGAATAGGAGGGAAAGATTTAATTTTTTTTAATTATTAATAAGTATGGGTTGTTTTTGTTGTCCTGGGAATTCAAGCAAAAGATCAGAGAAGCCAACAAACAAGAACGACGACAACAATGATAACAGCAGCAAGAAAAGCAAACCACATGGTCAAACACAAGCCAGTTCGGGTATTGAATTTTGTTGTCGAATTCTATGATTTTGTGAAAATGAAATGCATTGTGTTTGATCTTGGTTGAATTCTTGTTCTTGCTGTTATCATTCTTGTTTTAGCTCTTTTGGGTTTTTTATAAAATTTCTTCATAACGGGGTTTGAAATCAAAATGGATTCTTTCTTTCTCTATATTTGATGTTTTGATTGTCAAGCTAATGACTTGGAGTTTAAATTTTGGTTCTTGGAAAATGGGTCTTAAGTTCTTCTTTCATGCATTTAATATGTTATTTGAGAGAATTGGTAGCAATTCCTTTGTATGTATTAGTGAAATTTTGTACAATGTTTACTTAACATGTGTTGTATGTGTCATGATGCTAGTAGTACTTTTGTTTGTTTGCATGATTGGAAGGAAAAATCCTTTCTGTGGTTCAAAATCCGTACTGGGTGTTCTATTTGTCCTTGTTTGTTCTTTGTTCACCTTAAATATTGATGATTGTGGTCATTTTTTTAAAATATTGATGATAGTCTTATGTCGTTTTCTTGGTTTTTTCTTGTGGTTTTTGGTTCATTTGTTAAAAGATGAATTGAAAGTGCGTACATATGAGAGTGTAAAGAAGGAAGAGGTAGCTAAGGATGACCAGTTATCGTTGGATGTAAAGAATTTGAATTTGAATGATGAGGTTTCCAAGGATGGAAAAGCTAGCAAACTGGCACAGTCATTTACATTTGATGAACTCGCAGCCGCAACAGGTAACTTTAGGTCAGATTGTTTCTTGGGTGAAGGAGGTTTCGGAAAAGTTTACAAGGGATTCTTGGAGAAAACAAACCAGGTTGGTAGAGTTTTATACCATTTTGTTGTCAATGTTGTTAAAATTTTATGAATATTATCTTCTCGAAGCTTTTTTACTCAATTACTTGGTTTACTTAATTGTCTGATTTCTCTGTTCAACTTAGCAAACCTGTATTTTACTAGATTTAGCATTGTGCATTGTATCCTGTGATGAAGTTGGTGGTTACTATTCTTTTTTCCTGATGTAGGTTGTCGCTATCAAGCAACTTGATCGTAATGGTCTTCAGGGCATTAGGGAATTTGTTGTTGAAGTACTGACATTAAGCATGGCTGAGCACCCAAATCTTGTTAAATTGATAGGGTTTTGTGCTGAGGATGAGCAAAGACTACTGGTTTATGAGTACATGCCATTAGGGTCTTTGGAAAATCATTTATATGGTAAGCAAAATCTTCCTCCCGTTTCCCTGCTGATTTCGTTATTCTTCTGTTTACCTTTTATGACATCTCTACCAATTATGGCAAGGAAATTCTTATTGATAGTTTTTTCCCCTTCATGGGTACAGAACTTCCGCCTGGCGGAAAACCTCTTGATTGGAACACAAGGATGACAATAGCAGCTGGTGCAGCAAGGGGCTTAGAATATTTGCATGAAAAAATGAAGCCCCCTGTCATATACCGGGACCTGAAATGCTCCAATATTTTGCTTGGTGAAGGACATCATCCGAAACTATCTGATTTTGGTTTGGCCAAAGTTGGTCCTATTGGGGATAGGACTCATGTTTCTACAAGGGTTATGGGCACATATGGTTATTGTGCACCAGATTATGCAATGACTGGACAGCTGACATTTAAATCAGATATTTACAGCTTTGGGGTTGTCCTCTTGGAGCTAATTACTGGTAGGAAAGCAATTGATGATACAAGAGATCGTGCAGAGCAAAATCTTGTTGCATGGGTAAGATAAAGCTTATTTCACCTATATCAATTACTATCTTTGAAGTTTCAATTGGATATATTTCTTTTTAAAATTGTCTTTAAGAATCATCTTCCTTTGTCACTCTCTTTGGCCTGTTTTTCACATTATATTGGGATTGTGGGTTTAGAATGTAATTCTAATGAATGTGGTTTTGTTTTGCATTATAATATCAATTGATGTATATGTAAGAAGTTTGCTGGAAATGTCATCTACTCTCCTACTTTGGTATCTTCATTTTTTAAGGAAATACTGTAACAAATTGTGGGCTAAAAAATTATGGCAAACGTAATTTTCGTTTGTCTTTGTAGCTGATAATACTATATGGTAATTAAGGAACTGTTATTAGGAGGGAAGTTGATAAAGGGAAATGGTTATTATGCAAGTGTTTGCTTTGATATGTTCTACAAATGCTTGTCTGCTTAATTGCTTGCAGGCACGTCCCATGTTCAAAGATCGAAGAAACTTTTCACGAATGGTCGATCCTCTGCTGCAAGGTCAATATCCTGTCAAAGGTCTCTACCAAGCTCTTGCCATTGCTGCAATGTGTGTTCAGGAGCAGCCTAATATGCGGCCTGCTATATCTGATGTGGTTATGGCTCTGAATTACCTAGCCTCCCAGAAATATGACCCAAGCAATCCTGTTCACAGCTCTCGGAGGAGCCTGGCATCATCAGCCATGAATAGGAACGACGATAAAGGACCAGTTGCAGAAAATGAGCTTAAGAGTTACTGAGCTGGAGGATAAAATTAGAAATAAAGTGGCAAATATTGTTCTGCCGTGTTAATACACAGTGCCTTGTTATCAATTTTTGCATCACAGAAGATAACTGGCATACTTTCCACATTTAATCTCCATATACAGAGATTTTCTTTCACCCTTTTCCCTCCTCTGCTGGTATACACGTGAGTTGGGGTTCTTGCATGTAAGATGCTTCTTTGTAGGAACCATTTTCCCATAATAATAGTTTAGCCCTCCTATATACAGGAACATTTCACTTACAATTTTCTTTACTATAATCCTATAATTAGCTAATCAGAACAAAAAAAATTATGTAGGGGTTCATCATTCTTTTTCTCCATCTCAATCTTCAGCAAATCTTTGTTTGGATCTCAAGAAAATGGTTTAGAAAGGAAAGAAAATAATTAAATCGCTTCAAATGATAATTCTTTTTGGTTAGTTCTTTTTGCATGTGGGTTTCTTTTGTTTTTTCCTCGTTCTTTCCTACATTAAATTTTCATGGAATTCCTTGAAAGCAAGAGTATTTTTTATTTGATTCTCATAATAGTCTAATAGCTTATGAAGTTATGCCTCCTTGTTTGACTCTCAAGAAAGCTGTGATAAAAAAAAAAAAAAAAGGCAATTACAGTAGTATCTCAAACATTAAATTCCAATATTTATTATCTTTCAGAGTTCTTATTCAGGGTTTTTTTTTTTTTTTTTTAATTTTTAAACTCTGCACCTCCTTTTTGGTTTAAAAGCAGTGAATGTGGAGAATAAGATAGCAGAATTGTGGCCACACATCCTGTTGATATGCAATTGCCTCTTACTAATTCTCAGATTGATGTAGCCATCCATTCCTGGCATCTGCTACATCACCAATTGCCTCAGTCGCACAGAATATCACAGGGAGTGGAACTGAAGTACATATAGCCTGGAGTAAGAGTAATTGAAGAATCATTGCTTCTTTTTCTCTCAGTATTGTAGGTAGAGTCTGAAGTGCCCTGTATGCTGCATGCTGTATGCCTTGGACCATGGTAAAAAAGGAGATAAAAATCATTAAAAAATGACCTATGATGATGCCTTTTTCAGCTGTAATTCACTAAACTCGCCGTCTCTGCAATTTCCGACAGATAAAACCATTGTATTATTTTTATCCGTCCGAAGAACTCTGCAACAATCCCTCCTTGGTGACTGCAAAACGAATATAGGGGTTTCAGTCAGTAACAGCATCCGTAATTTCTTTAGACAGTGTCCTAAAATAAAATGTGAATAGAAAAAAGTGTACCTTCTGCCATCGAAGATCATCCCGCTTCTTCAGGACTACAACAGAATCGAGTTTCTCGGGTGAGGCCATTCTCCAACGGCAATAGCGACTGCGTGTTTTATGACGATAGTACACGCCAATTGTTTGCTTCCTAGCACGATCATACTTCACCTTGTTCATATAGAAAACGAAGGGCTTTTGGCAAGGGTGCCTTTCAACAGGCCTCGTGTTGAATGCATAAGCAGTGTAATCAGCTCTCTTGTACCAATTAAGAAAGGTTCTAGTCGGCATCTCAAGCTCTCTGGGAGACATCACTCCCCTCAATATTTGAACAACATATCCCCAAGAGACTATGATTGACCAGTATCGTGTTGAATCATAGCAGATGGATTGTTGCATCAAACTTGCTGAGTCCTCTTTGGCAGCTCCAAGCAGGTGTGCAAGGGCTTTGGCTCGTTTCATGTGAGGGAATATAGGTTCCACTACATCTATGTGGTGAAGTGATACCAATGGAGTCACTGGATGGGCTCCCAGGAGGCCTAATAGTTCTCCATACACATCATACTGTACAACATAAGAACAAAACAATTTACCCTGCCTTCTAAATCTTGAATGAAGATCAAGAAGAGCTTCAAATCCCGCTCAATTATGTTTCAACTTTCAAACTAGTTTGACAGGGAATAATTTCATATATTGTCATTGTTTCCCATTGTGAAAAGTCGAGAGCCAAACAGAAGAGGTCAAGAGATGGAAGTTTTTACCTGATGGAAGCCAAGTTCCCTGGTGAGGGGCACTCCTAGCTCAGCCATGCAAGCCTGAATCCTGTCATCACTGCCATATAATGCTGGATATCGCTGGATGCAATTGTCCTGCATCTTTGCCAATTCTTTTGCCAATGGATAGCTTATTGCAAACCCAGCCCCTCCAAATGCCATAGCATATGAAAAGAATATATTCTGAATATGACTCTCTGATGCACTCCCAACATAATAAAACTGTGTATGATCATATTTAGATAGCACCCTTACCACATTTTCAACAATAAAAACTGTATCATCATCCCCCATTACAAACCACCTAACATCCTTCATTCCAAGCTTAAGTGTTTCCGAAACCACCCTTGAAATCCTCAATGCCGATCTAGACCCTTGCTTATTTATGTACTTGAACTTTGAAGTGTCCTGAGAAACCCGAATCTCAGGCAGCTCTTCATTCATCCTGGTCCTGACTTTCTTATCCACCCAAACTACCCCTCTAGTCTCTTTTGGCCTCCACCATGCTTTTATGTACTCTTTTCTGATCTCCCACAAATTCGAAGCAGCTGCTATCCCAAAAGCAATGTGTTTCAGTTCAGTGTCATATCGATGGTAATTCCCTGGGGCTGCTTCAACGAGCTTTACTTGCCTTTGCTCTCCTAATTTTTTACCTTGTGAAGAGCTGCTGGAGGAATGGTTAATGGGTGCTTCAATTTTTGTAGAGAGATTGGTTATATCCGGACAATCTTTGCGGTCATTACTCAACAGGAGATTTGAGTATAGAATGTAAAGTAAAACCATGGTTATGAAGAAATAAATGACTGAGCCCCTAAGGCTATTCTGTGGCATTCGTTGCTGGGTAGAGCTCATTTGGTGCTAAAGGGTGAAGGTTTCTTGCAATGTCTTTGTAATTCCTTGCTTTTTGTTGTTATTGTTGATGTTGCTGTTGATGCTTCCCATGTTTTCGGTTCAAAGCATGAAGAGGGAGAAAGATAGTTATAGAAATCAGGTTGGACCGAGAATTGTTCGGATCTAAAGAGAGGAATTTTCGTTTCACATGTTCCTTTGCTCTTTGCATGTGTCAAAATTTTTGATTTGTTGGTTTGAGTTAATTTGTTATGGATGGGAATGGGATGAACCAATTTGAACATGGGATTTGAGCATTTAGGCTTAATTGGTTGTCGAAAAGAAGCCCATAAAGACAATCATGTTTAATCAGATCACTCAAGTTTCATAAAAGAAATTAAACCCATGTTGCCATAAACAGTTTTTGGCTAGCTTTTTGTCAAGGGAGGGTACTGAAATCACATGCTCACACGTGCAGGCAGTAACCTCTCCCTTCAATTTTATCCATTTGGTCCGTTTCCTCTGAACACTCTTTGCAATACTTAAGAGGGCACACTCTCTGAAATTACAGATCCAGCTTCCCAGTTCTTGGCTGTCCCATAGTTCAGGGATTAGTTCTTGCTTGGGTTATTTGGAAGCTGTTCGATGGTCTGAGGATGAAGAGGAGAAAATCGTATCTCATCTAAGCCAACTTGAACTTCATAGCTCAATAACAGAAGTTCTTCAGAGAGCATCATCTGAACCATCCACTTCAGCAAGAGCAGATGACATCTTCTTGAAGCTACTTGGTGTTCTTCAAGCCAAAGATGATAAAGCGTGTCGAGAAATGATAACTCTTATTTCACGATTACCTAGAGAAGATTCATTTGATGATGACAATCGTGTTCCGGCACGAAATTAGCCGAATCACTGCTCAACTACATATTGCAGTTGGTAGAGGAAACATCTTGTTTCCAAAAGAGAGCCGGTTCTCTCTGCTGTCGACATTGTTGGAAGCTCTTTATGAAGATTTTGGATGGATGCGAAGAGCTTCCAGATCTGGTAGATAAGAAACTAGTGGACGATGGACATGGACAATGCTTACCCTTTCTTTGCAGCAGCAACAGGCTGTTTTCCTTGGTTGGCTTGACAGATTTTTCAATAAAAAGGGTGACTGTCCCAGAATCTAGAGAGCATTTGAAGTTTGGTGGATAACAGCTTTCATCAGACAGTAAGCTGATGTGCAAGATTGTTCCCAGTTGTAAATACCAGTCAGCAGTTGTCCAACCTGAAATGTATGCCATAAAGGGTTCAAGCCAAATGTGTACATATATAAAGTAACATTCTTTTATGAAATGTTTGCTTTATCTCCACACTTCTGTTTTCCTTGAACACTATGAAAATGTTTGTTCTTTCGAAACTTTCATCTTCAACCGCAGGGGATGAGCCCGTGTACTGTAGAGCCACGGTGTGGAAATCAAAAGATTGACTCGTAAATATTGTGAAATGCCATTCTTTTTTAAAATGTCTAGTAGCAAGCATTTGCATGTGATTTTAGGCAAATTTGGCTTACCTCTTAAATATTAATTAGTAATCTTAATCAGACATCAAATCCTGATCCAAGTTCCAACTTGCTTAGTTTGAGAGCATGTACAAAAAAGTGAATAAATCACAAGCTCAGCTCAAACATCAAGTTATTGGACCTAATTCTATCAAATTCTATTACAGTAAAACATATAAAAAGCTGCCAGCAGCACCAATTGCACATGCCAAAGACAGGCAAGTCACGAAGAGAGATCACCATCAAGAAGAATAGTTAGTGATGCAAATTCAAATGTGAGAGGGGAAAAAGGATAAATTCAGAAAACTATGTAGTAATTGCATAGCTCATAGATTGAGCTAATTGGAGAAAGTGCTATTCCTGAACGGCAATCTGATTAGAAGCCAGCCAGCTTCTAGGAAATGAGAAGTTGCATCCGTCACTCAAATGCTAAAGCCTTTCATCCATCCTAGCTAAGTATCGGGAATAGGGAGAGTGCGGCCCTGTTCTCTGTTCTTAACATCTCGCAACTCTGGTTGGATGCTGTTGAAGCATAATCAACATAGAGCTCCTGCCTGATAATTTTCAAAAAGATAATGACCTCAAGATAAAACTGGATCTGGTCCATATCGTAGCATAGGAGGTGGATCGACTCTACAAATAGGAAAAGAAAAGTTTTAACTAAAACTTAAACTTCCGGAAAACCAAAGGATATTAAGAAGTATCATCTTCTCTAACTCAGTATTATGTTCTGTAAATGTGACCCAATGTTAGAAACATTAGTTAACAATATGTCACCCATTTTCAGTGTTACTCATTAAGAACACACAATTCCAAGCATGCAAACTCGTATCTGTGAAGTGTGAATAAGCATCATTACATAATCACTTCCATGTTATCAAAAAACCCCATAAGAAAAGTTAGATGGCTGCCACATAAAGCCAACAAGACTTAAAAGGTTAGTTGCAAAGTCGTCACAAGAGCAATAATATTAAAGGTCCAAACCTAAACGGGAGAGATCTGCAGATTATAGTTGTTTTGCTATTTGTCATAGAAGCACAAGAGAAAGAATATTGAGGAGGTCATTTCTCAATCGAAGGGGATGTTCAAACAGTCTCCACAAGCAGTAACAGATTACTCCAATTTATTCTTTTTAGGTAACACGGGGAAGATTTAGGGACTATATTGGAGCTGTATTGTTACCAAAGCACCATAAATGTTGAAAATTCAGTAGATTATTTGTCCGTCAGCAGGAAATATAAAAATGGATTTCATGCATAGCAACAGCAAATCCTCAAACTCATTCCTGTTAGATAAGATATTATTCTAGGTTCCTAGCAACTACTCTACCTGCACACGGAACACCAGGTCGTCGACTGTAATTTATGGATCATAGAACAATATCCAAAGCAGGCAATGCATATTGCTTAGATATTGAATCTATGGCAAAGAACAACCATGACGGAATTTGTGAAAAGAGACACCAGTCATTTAGACTGCTTTGATAACAGAAATGAAGACTTCTGATTAAAGAAGTAATGACCTTAAGTATGGCAAAAAGTAGTCAAATAATCAGTACCGAGTACTGACCAAAGGCCAGAAGCTTTTGTTGGAGCATTATAAACCTACTTCATCAGTCTTCAATAATTCAAATTACTTCCTCACAAGTAAATCTTATATATAAAGATTGTCCAAAGAATACCATAAATAAATAATAATAGTGCAATAAAACAGAACATTAGAAAATGTTTTGCATGCTTACTTTTGAATAACTTTGAGTATTCCAGTGCCTATCTGCATCGGTATGCCCATGATGATGCACTCGGTAACTCCCTCAATCCTGTCATCCCTCCCACTAACAGAAGCATTGAAAAGGTGATCAGCTGTCTTCTCAAATGAAGCCAGCATCAATATACTCTTGTCCATTTTTTGAATTCCAAATCTAGTGATGCCAAGAACTTCCCCCTGATACAATAATAATGTAAATGCAGTTATAAATTGTCCTGAAAATTTTGTCCACAAAACCGGAGGTCCAGAACATCATCTAAAATTTCATTATGGCAAAGAAAAAATAGTTTTCTTCCTTAATTTCTCAATGATAGGAGGCAATGAATGTCAGCAAAAAACCAACCCTAAATGTCATCACATCTGCTAGAAGCATCATATGGCGTATGTCTATGCTCATTCCATGGCTAGCCATAGTTACTGCTATCTCATTAATTATGCACGTTCTAGCAGCTTCAATTCCCAATATCAGCTGCATTTCCATGACATGGTTACTAAATGTCTTCCTTCCATCAATTCCTTCAATGCCCATAACTGCTTGAAGCCCCATGCTGAAAATACAGATGAGACATTTCTAACAATTAGGAAGGAGCTCTCAAAAAGTAAGAAATGATGAAAGACACAATAATTTTTATAATAACAATATGCACCACACAAGCAAGACATGTTCGAAAAACTATCCATCAACAGGCTAAATTCCATTTTTCAGTTACCTCCTTCCATGCTCTTTCATTTTGCTACTGGAATTTAACTCAGGTTATAAAGTCTATTGCAGTATCCATTAGTGCTGGAATAGTATTCTAATTCTAAGTTCCTCCTGCATTTTCTTTTTCTTTTTGAAAAGGAAAAAGTATCATCCAGACCCTTCCCCAGGAGTGGGTGAAGGGTAAGACTAACTTCTATTAAGTTGTAAGTTACCAAAAGAAATATTATGTAGATATAATTGTCAAAATAAGTCTCTCCATTACTTTTACCAAAATATATTATTTTATGGTATCCATACAGCACATGTTGCAGGTTTAAGGCCCATTTAAAACTACTTCAAAGAGACAGACAGGGCAATTAGTTTTAATTACACTACAACAGAATGAAACCAGTGGAATCTAGCAAAAACCAAACTAACCCTTCAACAAACAACTGGTACTGCTTCTTCCCTTCTTTCTGATTATTCTTATTCTCATTTTTCTTCTCAGAAATAACAGCACGTTCAACAGTTTTTATGCCCTATCATCCAAGGACATTGAAATAAGCACACGTATTCTCTCCAATTCTCCAATTACAAAGATAATCTGGAGCCTCACCTTTACCACAACCAGTGGAAGCAGATTTTTAAGAGAATGAAGTTCAAAATGAATTTTACTTCTATCAGCTGGAGGAATAACTTCCAACTTTCTAACATCCAAAACCTTCACATGCTGCAGAGTAACATAGAAGGAGATGTTAAGAATCCAGAGTGTTAGTGTCAAGACCACCAATAAGAAATCTGACCTGCTCCTTTAGTTTAATTTTCGGAGTTTGCAAAATTGATTCTTTCACAATATTTGCATCTATATATAATTGTGCATCTTGGATTCTTTCCATGTCAAGGGTGATAACAACTGATGCTAGTCTTGAAGTCATTACAATCTTGATGCTCTTAGCAACCTGCACGACAAGTAGATAGTCATCTATGAAAACAATCAACCCATAGGAGAACAAGCACACAATAGAAATAGCATTG